TGTGTGTGCCTCACGTCCTGCTAGGCGGACGGGAATGGCAGCGAGTGGACAGGGACTGTGATGTGCGTGTGGGCAGGGGGAAGGGAGTAAGGGGGGAGGGGGTGTGCATGTGTGCGTATGCGTGTGTGCGTGCCTGTGAGTGTTCCTTTCAGCTTTCAAGCTCTGGAGTGTGGCGGATTGCTCTTTGTGAACCTGCCTGCTCTTGGGTGGGGACGATTCAATCTCTTCCAAGAAAGAGGTAACTTGGACTGAAGTGAAGATGCAGCAGCAGGCCGAATGCACCGTGCATTGCTTTTTGTCTTAGTCCCTTCTCCAGCTAGCATCTACTCTTTCACATCCTCACACCTCTCTTCCTCTTCCTTGCCATCCCTTCTCCCCTCACCTCCAGCACTCATGGGAGGCAGTGGTTGCAGCAACCGCAGGATGATGGCTGCAAGCACACAAGCACTTGTGAGTCAAGTAGACCAGCTCAAGCAGTTTACTACTCCTCTATCCACCGTCTTCCTGCTTTCTGTGTTCCGTTCCATCTTGTCTACTATTCTCCCACGGTTCCCAGAGTCTATGCTGCTGTGCTGCCATGCTTTCATGCCACTCTTCTCAGCTCCCAAACCTCTCCTTTCCTGTCCTCTCCTCTTCTCGGCAGCAACACGTGGTGGACGCAACGAGAGCAACCTGGAGCACGGGCAGCAGCAGGGCGCTGCTTGGGGCAAAGGCTTGGCGCAAGAGAAACAGAGCAGCATAGAGCAGCACACAGGCGTGGCGTGGTGCGGGAGGCAGAGCGGCCGAGCGGCAAAGCGGCAGACGGAGGAGCGTGGTACGTGCCAGAGAGTGCGTGCAGGGGGGACGTGAACTGTCGTAGGGTGTCGCCGAGCAGAGGCAAGAGTCGTGTCTGTTGCTTGCGGGTCCACCACTCGCCAGCTGCTCCTTCTAACCCGCTTCTGTATGTGTGTGTGTCTCTCTCCCCATGTGTGTGTGTCCCTCTCTCCCTGTGTGTATGTGTGCTGTTGTGCCAACACATTACAGTGGCACGGTCATCGCACTCCCATTCGGCCTACAAGCCTGCTCAGCTTCTGGAATTTGGTGGGGAGGTTTTTCAACATGTGTTCTTCAAACCCTCAAAGTTTCAGAGTTTTTGAAGCAGTTACCAAGGCATGACAACATTTTATGTTTCAAGACTTATGGCATCCCGGAAGTGTGTGTTACTCCTTTTTGGTAACACCCGAGTTCACCATTTCGGCTGCTGACTCGTCTACCAAGATTTGATTGGTCTGAAATTTGGTCTGGAAGTCCTTTGTTGCGCTGTGCAGTTGGTCACCAAGTTTCAGAACGATCCAACATCTGAGCATTGCGTGACAGCTGCCGAAATTCACTGTTCCATAATCATGGTGCACTGTTGGCAGCATTTCCCTTGCCACCCTTTCATTGTTGTCATGCCAATGGTGCAGGGACAGAGAATGAGACAAGAAGTACAGGTGGTCAAGTGGGACTCTACAGCCCTCCTTTTGAGAAGTGTGGTCTTCCTGGAACCAGCTTGCAAGAGGGTGCAAGTGGGAAGACAAGCTGACTCATGGTTCGCTTAACTCACAATTGGTTGCCTTGAGTACAGCTCTGAACATCCATGTGTGGTTGGCTTTGCTGACCTAGCTAGGACGTTTCCCATCCTTCTCTAGAATTTCTCCCCTATGACTCAACCTTCTCTGAGTTCCCAGGATGACCTAACCCCTTATGAGTCCCCTAGGCAATGTTGTACTCACCTCTTCCTTGCATCAATGAGAATACACGTTTTTCAGCCGAGCTTACGTTTTCATTCACAGCGTAGCGCATACACCTCTGGTGAAAGCAAGCAATACACCGTTGGAAAGCAGACACGTAAGGCTATCTGCTGTCTTTTTTTCAGCCTCATGTGTTATCGGAGCTGATCGTGACGGCGTTTTGAACAGAGGCGGTTTGAAGACGTCAGATTCTGCTTAGGCGGTTTTATGGGCATCCGCGACCTCTAAGTGGACTCTTGACTATAACAAGTGGTATCAGAGCTATTCTACTCTGTTCTTGGGTGAATATGGAGGCTGGAGGTTCTGCTCCAGCTGGTCCCAGTGGCAGTGGTGGCGTGAGAGGCGCTGGGGAAGCAGGAAGAGGCGTTGCAGGCGGATCTGCACCAATGGCTTCCGTTTCAACATCAGCTAAGGATGATGTGAAGGCATTCAACCTGGAGAAGTTCTCTGGGGAGGATTGGGCATCATGGAGCTTCAGGATGGAGCTCCTCTTCAACCATTATGGGCTGCTTGAAGTGATGGATGGAGAATTGAAGAGGCCTGTGAGCGAAGGAGCGACCAAAGTCTTTGCTTCTATGCTGCCATGTTTTCATGCCACTCTTCTCAGCTCCCAAACCTCTCCTTTCCTGTCCTCGCCTTGCCTCGTCTCTGCAGCAACACGTGGTGGACGCAACGAGAGCAACAACTGCAGCAGCAGCACCAACGGAGCAACACGTGGGGCACGTGCCAGCACGTGGACGCCTGAAGTGAAGGCATGGCCCAACACTGGGAGAGCAGCGGACAGATCATGGTACGTGCCAGGGGGTGCTTGCAGGGGGGCCATGAATTGAGTCGTAGGGTGCCGCCGCGCAGAGGCAAGTGTCGTGTCTGCTGTTCTTGTCTCTGCCACTCGTGTCTTCTCTTGTTTCGCCTAACCCTCCCTTCTGTGTGTTTGTCTTGTCTTCCCATGATTGTGAGGGCGGGGGGGGGGGGGGGGGGGGGGGGGGGAGGGGTGGAAGGGGAGGGGTGGAAGGAGGGGGGTGGGAGGGGTAGAGGAGGGGATGGGGTGGGGGGCCGGCTCCTGTCCTTGTTTGCGTGTGCGTGTGCATGCCTGTGAGTGTGTCTCTTAGGCTCCAAGCCTTGGAGTGCGTTGTGCATCGGTGGGATGGGGACAGCATTTCTGTTCCTTGTGCAAGACAAGAGTGAAGATGCAGCAGCAGGTGAGCGCATCCTCCATTGCGCCTTGTCTCACTCCCTTCTCCAGCTGCCATCTGCCATCTCTTCTGGCTTGTTGCTGCTCTTTCACGTCCTCAGCCCCTCATCCACTCGCTTCTCCTCTCCTTGCTCACGCCTCTCAGTCCTTGCCATCCTTCCTCCCCTCACCTCCAGCACTCAAAAGGGAAGAGGATGCGACAACTGCAGGATGGTGGCAAGCACATTGGCAGTGGTGGTGGCACCAGCAGTTGCAGCCTCAACGGCCATTGCAGTGGTTGCAGCTGCAGCAATGGAGGGGTAATTGCAGTCTACCCTATGCTTCCATGTTCCCTCTATATGTTTGCTGTTTAACATCGCTTGCGTTCTCGTCTAGACTCCAGTACCTTGCTCGTTTCCTGTCATCCTTCTCCTCAGCCCTCCCTCCCATCTTTCTTCATCCAAATATTATGGTGCCCTCGCCTCCCCTGCCTCTCCCTTCATCCACGTCCTTGTATCCTGCTGTTCTTCCGACTCGCAACAACTTGCGACCTTGTTTTTCTCCCCTCTCCACGTCCCATTGCTGTCCCTGGCAGCATCCGTGGGGGAAGAGTGGAGCAGCAGCAGTGCAGCGTATCTACATGGTGGGTGTGATGGGAGATTCTGCAAAGGGGAGTTGCTGGCCTTGTTATCGTACATTTCTCACTTGGTGCTCGCCCTTCAATGGCGGTCTGACGTGAATGCAGTACACAACTACCGGTAATCTTTGCCGTCTGATCATCTTCACTTCTGCAGCTTCTAAGTGCCTCCTCTTCCGTTTTTTTTCCTCTGCTCGTTCTGGCTCTGGCAACAGCTGTGCAGGAAGCAGTGGGAGCAGCAGCAGTGTATGGTAAGTGTGGATTATGCTCGCCCCTCACTTCCTGCTTGCTCTACAGTGGCGTTCCAAATATTCTTTGCACCTTCTGCTTACGTACCTTTGATTCAAACAGAAATGCGCCCTATGATTTACAAATGCTTCCAGCTACCTTGTTACAACCCCTCCCCTCTCTTCCGTTCCCCATTGCTTTCCCGTTTACAGCTCAGAGAATTCAACATGGCTCTGCGTTGGTGATGTGAAGGCGAGGAGAAGACTCTGGCTGCTGCTGTGCTCAGCAGAGGCAGACTGTTGGGTGTGTCTAGGTGTGTTCAGCATTGCTTAGGTGTGCTGTGCTCAGGTGTTACTGTGCTGGATGGGCCTGCATGTTGTAGAGCAGGTGGGTGGGGTGGGGAGCCTGGAAGGTGCCTGGGCACAAACAGCCAAGCAGGAGAGAAAGAGAGAGTGAGGTGGGAGCTGCCATGAGAGGCACGTGTACTGTGATGGGGAGCAAGCGAGGGGGCAGGGTACCCACCCACCTGAGCGGCATGCAGCTTGCATGCATATACAGAGCAAGCCACCACAAACCGGATCGGGGCCAGGCAAATCCTTCACACACAAGCAGGTATGGCATGGATTGGTCACATTTTGTGCAGTACGAGAAGGTCAGGGGTACGGTACATAACACACACTTATGATTGCAAATGCTGCAACAAGAAGAACAGTGACTGTGGGCAGCCATGCTACCAGGTACAGCGAGAGTATGGATGGGAACTATCCAATCTGACAGTTGCTGTTGAGCCGTATTCTTTGTGGGCTCTTCACCGTGTGAGCTGAGCCAACATCCGTGTCTGCACCCATAGTCGTCATGCCACAGCCACCAACCAACCAGCCAGCCAGCCAGCCCGCCTACGGTACTAGCCACAAATGTAACAAGCCAGCCGGTCTACCAGCTTACTGGTAGTTGTTCTTCAACAGCCTTTAACCAAGTTGAAACGTTTTGCCATCTTGCCACTTGCTACAGTCACATCTGCTACCTATTTGGTCCTACTGATAAAGCAATCTAGACAACACAGGTATGTACTGCTATGGTAGCATGAGTATTATAGACCCGTTTCATGCTAAATAATGGCATGGAGATTGGCAGAAACTGGGTGCGATGATGGCCTGACAATCATTCTTCATGGAATGCTGGCAATGACTCCTCATGACATGCTGCATCCACGCACAATGACTATTGGAGTCTGCTCCTCCGCGTTTCCTGTATTCACACACCCAGCCACAGTCAGTTAACGACCAATCAGGAACGCCAAAAGCTTGCCTTCAGATGTCCAACTATGACAAGCACGCACGAGCATCACAGCATTCCTTACGGCACTGCACTGAACCTCTCACAACCTGCGTGTGTGCAGGCAGGGCAGCTCACCTGCTGGGTTAGGGAGCAGCGCTGTTGTGAGCCTCCCATGGTCCACCCCTGCTGATGCCTGCATGCCATGGGGCATGGGGGCATGGGCATGGTTCATGTGGCATGGGCATGGGTCATGTGGATGAGCATGGGGCATAAGAATATGCGCCAGAAGATATGGCAGTGGAGTATGGGCCTTGGGGCAAGAGCTATGGCATCACTCCTTCATTCCTCACACCACCAATGCATCCTGATGCTAAATCAGTGCCCCCTCCATCCAACATATTCACATGCATCACCGTCACGCCACACCCCAGCTTCATCCCTCTTCTCCTCTCGTAATTGTTCATCACCGCTCTGCACTGTTCAACACCCATGTAGGCACTCACAGCGAGGATCTGCACTTTCTTGAGGTCATTAACATCGACTATCGCCACGCCACACCCCAGCTTCGCACTCAGCCCATCCACCGTCTCCTGCGGTCGCAGCTGGTGGGCCAGCCGGGGAGAGGGCAGTGTGCAAGGCAGAGGGGTGTGGAAGGCAGGGGGGTGATGAAAGGTGGTAAGAGGGGAGAGTGCCAGTGACGCGGCTGTGAGTGAGTGTGGTGTACTTGCGAGGACTTATGAGGCGCCTCAGAAGGCGTACGTGTGTGGACAGGAGAGAGCAAGAGAGGAGAGTGCAAGAGAGGAGAGTGCAAGAGAGGAGAGTGCAAGAGAGGAGAGGCCACGCACAGGCCCGAGGGTGATGAACTGGTCGTAAGGAGGGAGAGTCCCCGTGACGTCGTCGATTAGCCGTGCCTGCTCCCCTGCCAGCTGGTAGAACACACCCCTCTTTCCCAGCAGCAGCCTCGCCAGTGCCGCCAGCAGCACCGCCACTATCACGCGCACCACCCCCACCACGTCGATAAGGGCCTGCAGCGCAGGGAAGGAGGGGGAAGGCGGAAGGAAGAAGGGTGTGAGTGTGTGTGGGTGGTGACTTTTGAGTCGACTCAGCAGTCACCTCATGCCAGTGCCGCCAGCAGCACCGCCACTATCACCCGCACCACCCCCACCACGTCCATAAGGGCCAGTTGGGAAGGGGACAGGGGAAGGGGAAAGGGGGAAGGGGACGGGGGAAGGGCATATGTGTGCGTGAGTGGGTGGTGACTTGTGAGTCGCCTCAAGAGTCACCTCGTGCCAGTGCTGCCAGTAGCACCGCCACTATCACCCGCTCCACCCCAACCACGCTGATTAGGGCTTGTTGCGAGGGGGACGGGGAACGGCATGCATTGGTGTGGGTGGTTTATGAGGGGAAGGGCCGGAGACCACTCGCACTGCCCCCACCAACCCCACAGCCCCATACCTCAATTTACCTGCATGCCACACGCAGTGGCGAGGGAGGAGGTGGGCAGGAAGCGGCGGCACGCCCAACGGGCCACTGGGCCCGCGCACAAGGAGTCTGGGTGGCGGAAGCGACCCTGCATGATAGCCAATGGGGTCTCGCCAAGTGTCACCACGTCGCCTGGTTGGAGATATGGCGCTGCGTAGCTGGTGCAGGCGGGCGGGATGGGATGGAGTCCGGTGCAGTGCGGTTCAGTGAAGTGAAGATGGTGCTGAGACTTGGGATGGAGTAGGATGTGGTGGGACGTGCGAGCGACAAACTGGCGTCACAAATGGCGGATAGGTCGAACTGATCAGACTAGACAGACTAAACCGAATAAAATTGGCATACTTAGATGCGGGTAGTGTATGAATGGCAGTGAGAGTGAGCGTGGGGTTGCGAGTGAGAGTAAGCGTGGGGTTGCGAGTGAGAGTAAGCGTGGGGTTGCGAGTGAGAGTAGGCGTGGGGTTGCGAGTGAGAGTAGGCGTGGGGTTGCGAGTGAGAGTGAGCGTGGGGTTGCGAGTGAGAGTAGGCGTGGGGTTGCGAGTGAGAGGGCGAGGGGCGTGTCTCACCGTCGCAGCGCGAGAAGCGGGTCGTCAAGGTGGCACAGCAGGTGCGTTGGGACCGCCAGCACTGATATGCCTGGTGCTATGCTGTTGGGGAGAGGGGGGGGACGGGAGGCAGTTGTGACGGTGTGGAGACAAGGTGAATGCGCATGGAAGGGGGGAGCGGTAGAGCAGAGGAGAGGATGAGTAGCGGCGAGGGTGAGTAGGGGCGAGGGAGAATAGGGATGACAGCAAGCATACCTGCGCCACTGAGGGGCATACCTGCGCCACTGAGGGGCATACCTGCGCCACTGAGGGGCGTGAGGAGCGGATGGGGGCGGGCAGGGGGGGAAGGCGAGGGGCAGGATGACGTGCTGCACCAATGGCAGGCTGCCATGTGGCCCGTACGCCGGGTAATGCACGTCCAGCCTGGCCGCCTGGTGGACGGAACGCGAGGAGAGATGGTGGGAGGGAGTGATAGAGGCGAGGAGAGGGGCGTGTGTGGTGCGGAGGGAGGGGGATGGTGGGTAAGAGTGAAGGAGGGAGTGATGGAAGGAAGGGGAGTGATGCGGTTCAGAGAGTGCACTTGAGAGCCACGAAAGATGAGCAGGAGAAGATTGAGGGAGAGCAGGGGAGGGTGGAGTGGGGGAGATGGGGCAGGCATGGGTTGCTCATACAAGCTCACACGTACGTAGGGGCTCATACAGGCATGGGAGATTGTCCTTGCTGGCTGCTTCCACTCTACAGCCTGCCTGCACTCAACCCCCTCCCTGCCAGGAAAAGGCCCGAGTGTCCCCGTCCCCACTCGGCTGGCTATTCTTTGAGTTTACTCTAAAGTCCACTGCTTGTACCTTGAGGTGCGAGAGTGCTGCTGCGTCGACTGAGTCTGCCGCCCGGATCTCAACAGTGACCTCCATGGCGGTGCCCTTGCCCGCCCGCGTGATGTACGCCGGCCAGTAGCCATCCGCTCGGGCGGCAGGCTTGCCGCCCGGATGGCGTGGAGCGATCTGGACTGGGCAGGCGGGCGGGCGGGCGGGGAGGTATAGGTGGAGTGAGTGAAAGACAAAGATAGCAGCTCAGGCTAAAGTGAATGGAGGAGGGGAGAGAGGAGTTGAGCTGGTGTCAAATGGGCAAAGGGAGCAAAACTGAGGGGGAGGAGGTCTGGTGGTGGAAAGGGTGGAGGTGCGAGGGAGAGTGGGGGAGAGTGAGAGAGTCTATGTGGAAGTGCGAGGGAGGGCAGGGATATAGTCTTTTTGGAAGTGCCGGGTCTGTGAGGAAGTGTGGGGGAGGCGAGCGAGTGCGAGGGAGTGTGAGGGAGTGTGAGGGAGTGTGAGAGAGTGTGAAGGATTGCAAGGGAGTGTGAGGGCGTGTGAGAGAGTGCGAGGGAGTGAGGCGGAGGGCGAGCACTGACAGAGACGTGAGTGGAGATGCCGTGGAGGTAGTGGGAGGAGAGCAGCACCACGCTCGCCGTCACATGTGGGATGAAAATCTCCTGCTTGCGCGTCGTGTTGTGGAAACTGCGCCGGGGGCGATGGGCAGGGGGGAAAGGCAGGGAAGAAACCTTCGAGTGGACTCAAAAGTCACCTTATGTGGAATGAAAGCTGGGAGAAAGTGGGAAGGGGAAAGGAAGGGGACGAGGGGGGAGGGAAAATGGGAGTGGGGGCGCAGAAGTGGTAGAGGAAAAGGGCAGGGGGGAGGAGAGGGGGAAGAGGCAGGGGCAGGGGGGGGTGGGAGCACAGCGAGGGGGCTTACTCCTTGCAGGCAGCACTCTGGGTGGGTTCCGGCTCTCGCCATCCATGGATTCCATGCTACAGGCTTGTCCCTTCCCTACCTACCCTGCTGAGGCTGGTCCATTGGTAAGTGTCTCTGCTGCACTGCTCTCACTCCATGGCAGCATCATCATCATCATCACCCAATGGTGTGGTGATGTCACGGCAGGGTTTCTCTCTTGACCCCTGCCCTGCCATCACACATCTGCCCACCATCGCTCGCCCCCCTTTCACCTCACTTAGTTGGTCATTTACGTTTACGTTTACGTACGTACGTGTACGGGTACGTACGTTTACGCGGCTGTTGGGTTGGAGGCCTAATTTACGGGCAGGTGAAAATTTTTCTGGCCTGCCCGGATATGTATATTTTCTCTATACTTTTCCCTCCTAATCATAATTTCCATCATACAGTGTAGATTTAGATTTGACTCGGCGAATTGGTTTGACTCGAAGTTGGGATTCGCCGAAACCAATGAAGCTCGGCGGTGACGAAACTGCCGAGCGGGTGACATTCGCTTACCTTGCAAACGAAGCAATCGCAATCTGAGTCAAACTGTTCGCAATGTTCTATCGCGAACAGTTTGCACACATTCAAATCTGCCGACAGACTTAGCTATCGTAGTTCTGCCGCCTTAGTCGACATAGTACGTAGGGTAGTCGCCACACCATAGCGACCCTAGCTAGCAACCTTCCTGTTTCTTACATTACTACTTTGAAAAACGTCGCGCCGTTTTGCTAACACGCTAACAGAGCACAGGTCGTCGAAAGATTTTTTCTTTTTTAGTTTTTTCGGAAACCGTTTTCAAAGAAATTTCAACGCATATTTTTTTTTCTGACCTGCCCGGCGTACGTACACGTACGTACGCGTACGTACACGTAAACGTACATGTACGCGTACGTTAAGTGTACGTGGGCTGAAATGGCGTAAATGACCAACTTAGTCACCTCATGACCCCCATCGTCCCTCCCCATCAACCCCCGCCCCTCCCCCCCCCTCACCTCATGACCCCCACGAGGCGGTACAGCGACGGGCCTCTCTCCTCCCATTGCCAGCTGCCACGTGTCAACAGCAGCCCCCCTGGGACCTTGCCGCCCTGCAGTACACACACACGCACACATGTAGGCACATGCGGGGCCACACACAGAGGCTCTCACACGCATGTATGTACCCATGCACAGAAACACATGCTTACAAGACGAGGGCGTCAGTCATGTATGACGAGGGCGAGGGGAGTGGAAGGGATCTCAATCATGCCACTCCCCTCCTCTCGCAATCATGCCACTCCCCTCCACTCTCAATCATGCCACTCCCCTCCTCTCTCAATCATGCTACTCCCCTCCTCTCTCAATCATGCCACTCCCCTCCACTCTCAATCATGCCACTCCCCTCCACTCTCAATCATGCCACTCCCCTCCACTCTCAATCCGCCTCTCACGCCTTCCACTCCCCTCGCCCTCCTCATCTTGCCCTCCCTTCCTCACCCCATCCCTCCCTCGCTCCCATTCCCATCCCACCCTCCTCATCCCATCCCCTCCTTCATCTCTCTCCTCCCCTCCCCACCTGCACTGTCAGCAGCCGAGCCTTCTCCTGAGAAAGCCACCTCTCATTGCTTGCCACGTCATACGTCCCCGCTTCTTCCAATGCGCCGCCCCCCAATGCCGTCCGCTCCCGCGCCCCCTCCGCCGTCCCCACCTCCGCATTCCGCCACTCCGCGGGATCGCTAGCCCACGCCGCGCCCGCCGCAGACGCTGCCGCGAATCCCGGACGGAACAATCTATTTCGTTTTAATGTGACTGTGACTGTGTGCGATGGGATTCCCCCAAAGTTCCGGCGGGATGGGCGGAACGGAAGCGCTGCGAGTCCGCCATGGCGGAGCGGCGGCGGAACTCGGGCGCGCGGAGAAGAAAGGGGCGGCGGTAGCGCACGGGAGGGCGGAAGGGGGAGTGCGCGGTGAGCGAGGGGAGGTTGGGATGAAAGCTTAGAGGTCATCTCGCGTCGCCAGCTCGCAACCCGCCGTGAAGCATGGAGTGGGCGGTTGCGACCTTTGAGACAGTTCAAAAGCGAAGCGTGGAGTGGGCGTTGCGGTGTTCGCGAGCTTATGAGACAAGAAATGCGGATCTGTCATAAATATCAACAGTAATTACCAGACACTAATGTGTTCGAAGAGTTTCATCCTCTCTACTACGGTACTCTTGGTTGCGGTGGAGAGTGGTGTTGCTGGAGCTGTGAAGTTATGGAACCAGGTATTGTAAGGCACTAGTTAAGTAATCTAAGGTGTATTTGATATCGGACTAAAAAATGGAACCATATATTTTTATGCACTAGTCAAGTGATCTGGGCCCTTCAGCCCCCTCTTTTGTTACCGTAACATTTTGCGAATGGTCATGGAAACAAGTCCATCTTTAGACATGGAAGTGGATAGATGTCATGTCCCTTGCTACAGTTACATGTTCCAGTTGGAATAAGAGAGCTTCAATATATAACCACAGATAAACATGGTTCACGACAATACAGTACGAGTATAAGAATGTTCTGCAACGGTTGCACTGAACACTAGCATGCACAGTATTGTGATGGGAGCATGAGTATGATGTGCTGGCAATCATTCCTCATGGCTTGCTGCATCCACGCACGATGACAATTGGTGTCTGCTGATCCGCATTCCCTGCATTCACACACCCACCACCCAGGTATTAGAGTGAGTGGCAAAGTGAGTCAACTCACAATCAACAGCAGAGCCAATCAACAACGAATCATGAACGCCACTCACCGATGCATGTACCCAGAGCTTTCCAACACCTGCCCAACTCTGCCCACCTGACAGGTGCTCACCAGCATCGCAGCCTCAGAAAACATTCCCTCCGCACCGCACTGAACCCCTCACAACCTTGACTGTGTGCGGGCAGGGCAGCAGCTCACCTGCTGGGTTGGGCAGCAGCGCTGTTGTGAGCCTCCCATGGTCCACCCCTGCTGACGCCTGCACGCCATGGCGCATGGGGCATGAGGGCATGGGGGCATGGGGTATGGGGGCATGGGGCATGGAGGCATGAGAATATGGGGCAAAAGGTATGTGAATTGGATGGAATATGGGCCATGCGGTATTGATCTAGAGGAGATGGGGCATGGGGCATGGGGCAAGGGGCATGGAGCATGGGGCATGGTGCAAGGTGCATGGTGCATGGGGCATGGACCACAGTGAAGGTCGGTCGGTGCTCCCTTGAGTTAATTCACAAACGCCACATCTATGCACAGCCCAGCTTCATCCAGCTTCACGTCCACCGCTCTCCACCGCTCACCACCCACGCAAGTGTGGCAGCACTCACGGCGAGGATCTTCACTTTCATGAGGTCGTTGACATCCACCACCGCCACAGCGCACCCCAGCATCGCACTCAGCCCCCTCACAGTTTTCTGTACGCTCAGCTGAATAGTGGGGAGCCGGGGGTGGGAAGCGCAAGGAGAAATGGCAAGGCAAGTGGGATGGGAGAGGGAGAGGGGTACGGATGGGAGGCGGTCGAGGTCGTTCACGCCCACCACTGCCACAGCACACCCCAGCCTCGCACTCAGCCCCCTCACAGTTTCCTGTACATGGAGCTGGAGAGATGATAGGGGAGAGGAGAGAGGAGAGAGGAGAGAGGAGAGAGGAGAGAGGAGAGAGGAGAGAGGAGAGTGGAGAGAGGAGAGAGGAGAGAGGAGAGAGGAGAGAGGAGAGAGGAGAGAGGAGAGAGGAGAGTGGAGAGAGGAGAGAGGAGAGAGGAGAGAGGAGAGAGGAGAGTGGAGAGAGGAGAGAGGAGAGAGGAGAGAGGAGAGAGGAGAGAGGAGAGAGGAGAGAGGAGAGAGGAGAGAGGAGAGTGGAGAGAGGAGAGAGGAGAGTGGAGAGAGGAGAGAGGAGAGAGGAGAAAGGAGAGAGGAGAGAGGAGAGTGGAGAGAGGAGAGAGGAGAGAGGAGAGAGGAGAGAGGAGAGAGGAGAGTGGAGAGAGGAGAGAGGAGAGAGGAGAGAGGAGAGAGGAGAGAGGAGAGAGGAGAGAGGAGAGAGGAGAGAGGAGAGAGGAGAGAGGAGAAAGGAGAGAGGAGAGAGGAGAGAGGAGAGAGGAGAGAGGAGAGAGGAGAGTGGAGAGAGGAGAGAGGAGAGAGGAGAGAGGAGAGAGGAGAGTGGAGAGAGGAGAGAGGAGAGAGGAGAGAGGAGAAAGGAGAGGAGAGAGGAGAGAGGAGAGAGAAGAGAGGAGAGTGGAGAGAGGAGAGAGGAGAGAGGAGAGAGGAGAGAGGAGAGAGGAGAGAGGAGAGGGGAGAGAGGAGAGAGGAGAGAGGAGAGAGGAGAGAGGAGAGAGGAGAGTGGAGAGTGGAGAGAGGAGAGAGGAGAGTGGAGAGAGGAGAGAGGAGAGAGGAGAGAGGAGAGAGGAGAGAGGAGAGTGGAGAGAGGAGAGAGGAGAGTGTCACGAAACATATTGGTAAGTTGGAGCATATTTCGTTCAGAGCTATGTGGGGTGTAGGTGGTGTACAAGTTGTTATGCAGGGTATTGGAGTGGTAGTTGAGGACTTGGGGAATCACGCGAAGTTGGTGACTCAGAAGATTGCGAAGCGCATGTTGGGAGAATTTGAGGCCTAGGGAGACAGGAAATCGGCGAGGGCCAACCAGAGCCCAGGCGACTCCAGTGCAAGCCCAGCCCCTGAATAATTCGCGACAGGGAAAGCAAGTACTAGTAGTCTAGCCTAGCAGAGCCAGACTTGTTCTCTCGTTTGTCTACCTGTTATAGTGGAAGCAAGTTACCGTTCTAAGCTACTGCTGCTAGGTGACAAGGCCACTCGGGGTAGCCATTGTGTGGGAGTCAGGACTTCTCACATGGGAGTGGCTGAGGCAGGAGAGGACTGAGTAAGGGCAATCATGGAAGGAAAAGGGACAAGAGGAGGATGGGGTGAGAGCAGAGAAGGTAACCACGCAGTGCTGGCAAGGATAAGTGAGTACTCCGACAAGAGTGGAGAGAGGAGAGAGGAGAGAGGAGAGAGGAGAAAGGAGAGAGGAGAGAGGAGAGAGGAGAGAGGAGAGAGCAGAGTGGAGAGAGGAGAAAGGAGAGGAGAGAGGAGAGAGGAGAGAGAAGAGAGGAGAGTGGAGAGAGGAGAGAGGAGAGAGGAGAGAGGAGAGAGGAGAGAGGAGAGTGGAGAGTGGAGAGAGGAGAGAGGAGAGTGGAGAGAGGAGAGAGGAGAGAGGAGAGAGGAGAGAGGAGAGAGGAGAAAGGAGAGGAGAGAGGAGAGAGGAGAGAGAAGAGAGGAGAGTGGAGAGAGGAGAGAGGAGAGAGGAGAGAGGAGAGAGGAGAGAGGAGAGAGGAGAGGGGAGAGAGGAGAGAGGAGAGAGGAGAGAGGAGAGAGGAGAGAGGAGAGAGGAGAGTGGAGAGTGGAGAGAGGAGAGAGGAGAGTGGAGAGAGGAGAGAGGAGAGAGGAGAGAGGAGAGAGGAGAGAGGAGAGTGGAGAGAGGAGAGAGGAGAGTGTCACGAAACATATTGGTAAGTTGGAGCATATTTCGTTCAGAGCTATGTGGGGTGTAGGTGGTGTACAAGTTGTTATGCAGGGTATTGGAGTGGTAGTTGAGGACTTGGGGAATCACGCGAAGTTGGTGACTCAGAAGATTGCGAAGCGCATGTTGGGAGAATTTGAGGCCTAGGGAGACAGGAAATCGGCGAGGGCCAACCAGAGCCCAGGCGACTCCAGTGCAAGCCCAGCCCCTGAATAATTCGCGACAGGGAAAGCAAGTACTAGTAGTCTAGCCTAGCAGAGCCAGACTTGTTCTCTCGTTTGTCTACCTGTTATAGTGGAAGCAAGTTACCGTTCTAAGCTACTGCTGCTAGGTGACAAGGCCACTCGGGGTAGCCATTGTGTGGGAGTCAGGACTTCTCACATGGGAGTGGCTGAGGCAGGAGAGGACTGAGTAAGGGCAATCATGGAAGGAAAAGGGACAAGAGGAGGATGGGGTGAGAGCAGAGAAGGTAACCACGCAGTGCTGGCAAGGATAAGTGAGTACTCCGACAAGAGTGGAGAGAGGAGAGAGGAGAGAGGAGAGAGGAGAAAGGAGAGAGGAGAGAGGAGAGAGGAGAGAGGAGAGAGCAGAGTGGAGAGAGGAGAAAGGAGAGGAGAGAGGAGAGAGGAGAGAGAAGAGAGGAGAGTGGAGAGAGGAGAGAGGAGAGAGGAGAGAGGAGAGAGGAGAGAGGAGAGTGGAGAGTGGAGAGAGGAGAGAGGAGAGTGGAGAGAGGAGAGAGGAGAGAGGAGAGAGGAGAGAGGAGAGAGGAGAAAGGAGAGGAGAGAGGAGAGAGGAGAGAGAAGAGAGGAGAGTGGAGAGAGGAGAGAGGAGAGAGGAGAGAGGAGAGAGGAGAGAGGAGAGAGGAGAGGGGAGAGAGGAGAGAGGAGAGAGGAGAGAGGAGAGAGGAGAGAGGAGAGAGGAGAGTGGAGAGTGGAGAGAGGAGAGAGGAGAGTGGAGAGAGGAGAGAGGAGAGAGGAGAGAGGAGAGAGGAGAGAGGAGAGTGGAGAGAGGAGAGAGGAGAGTGTCACGAAACATATTGGTAAGTTGGAGCATATTTCGTTCAGATCTATGTGGGGTGTAGGTGGTGTACAAGTTGTTATGCAGGGTATTGGAGTGGTAGTTGAGGACTTGGGGAATCACGCGAAGTTGGTGACTCAGAAGATTGCGAAGCGCATGTTGGGAGAATTTGAGGCCTAGGGAGACAGGAAATCGGCGAGGGCCAACCAGAGCCCAGGCGACTCCAGTGCAAGCCCAGCCCCTGAATAATTCGCGACAGGGAAAGCAAGTACTAGTAGTCTAGCCTAGCAGAGCCAGACTTGTTCTCTCGTTTGTCTACCTGTTATAGTGGATGCAAGTTACCGTCCTAAGCTACTGCTGCTAGGTGACAAGGCCACTCGGGGTAGCCATTGTGTGGGAGTCAGGACTTCTCACAAACGAGAGAAAGAGCCGGCGACATGGATCGCCATGAGCTGCGCATGCAGCGAACGTATTCGCGGCGGGAACGTTCTCCGTCACGGGGAAGGTGCTCAAGGGAGCGAGGGAGGTCGCCGACGCGCTCGCCAAGGAGGGCGGCGTATCGCGCAGATCTGGTGACGCCAGTGGGCGTGCGCGCTGGAGGACGCGGAGCGGATCTGCACGTCAGATCGGAGCCTGGAAGGCGGCCCGCGACCAGCGATCCGTGGGATCTGGCAGGAGGCCGGCGCGGAATGGATGGAAGGCGTCGCGACGACGACGTGGAGATGGACTCGGCGAGCGATGACGATGGGGAGGAAGAAATTGAAGAAGCCCCAGTCGCGCGGGGCAGCGGCGATCGAAAAGAGACTGAAGGCGAAGGATCCCCCATTGCGCGGGGTGGTGGAAGGCGCAACGACGCCAAAGACGAAGTGTTCCCAACGACGCGGAGGAAGGAAGAGCGCGTACCTGCAGGGCAGTATGAATATGAGTTGAAGCACAACAGGAGTGGGAGAGGTGAACGTCATGCCAGGGAGCCTCTAGGAAGAGAGAGGAGTTGTCATGCGCCCACTGGAGCATTCCGCTCGCCCGAGCCGAGGGAGAAGTATGAGCGCAGGCGGCGCATGGCGAGGGGTGACTGGCGAGGTTTGGGGCTGCCGAGGGAGGGAGAGCGTAGCGATGGTAAAGAAGAGGGGTGGGACTCTACGCAGAAGGGAAGAGAGCACAAAGAGGGGTACCGCAGGGAGGACAGGCGAGGATCACTACATGCTTCGGGGGCAGAAGAGAGGAAGCGAGAAGACCAGCAGCGGCAGGACAGGGTTAGAGCGAGATAGGCGAGGTCAGGAATACTCGCCTGAGAGGAAGGAAAGGAGAAGGGGGGAAGAAGGCAAGTGGAAGGAGGCGTGGGAAGGGGAGCATAGAGGGAGTCCGAGTCCAAGGAGCTCAAGGAGGCCATGGCAGACAGGAGAGGGATCCAGCGGGGCTAGAGCCGCAAGGGAGGGAATAGAGAGGGTGTTGTACGGAGCTAGCGCAGGCAGCAGAGGAATGAGGGAGCGCAGAAGAGAAGGTAGCCATATGGAGCGTGGAGTGACAGGGACCTGGGACATAGGGAGATGGGGCACGCAGGCGCCGCCTAGGGTGGAGGTGCCAGTGCGCTTCACGGGAAATGAAGGGACGGGCACTAACCTGAAGAATTATCTGATGCAGATTGAGAATGTCAAGTATCGGTGTGATCGTGGGGGGATGGACCCCATCGACTTCTTCCTCAGTCTGCCCAACACATTGGGAGGGGAAGCAGAGACTTTGTATCGCATGAAAATGCAAGAGTGGCTGAGAAGGGCGGAGGAAGATGGAGATGACCCGACAGCATTGTTTCTGGCGCGGCTACGCAAGCAGTTTCCCGGGCATACAGCGGACCGGATCAGGGAGTTTCAAGACTTCAGACGCAAGAAGGACGAGTCATTGTTAACATACTATGGGCGACTCATGAACCTGGCCGAAGATGTGGTGTGCACGGACACCAGTATGCTGATCAGCAAGTTCCTGGTGGGGCTGGATGATGGGTTAGCAGGAGGGCTGAGGATGAGGGTCTACGAGTAGGGGCGGAGGCAACGCTGGAAGAAGTATTTGAGCTGGCAGACAAGGTGGAGCTGGCACAGAGGCGCTATGAGGCATACCTGCCCAAAGCAGCGGAGAAGAAACGACCCACCTGGGCAGCCGCGATGATACCAGGGGCAGGAAGCGGAGAGGAGCAGCGGCAGGAGAGGAGGACAGATACTAGGACGTGCTACAGGTGTGGACAGCCAGGGCACGTGAAGATGAACTGCAAGAACTGTGACACATGTGGCAAACCAGGCCACCGCCGGCGGGAGTGCCCTGATGCGCCTATCTGTGAAGTGTGCGGAAAAAGGGGGCATCAGCAGAAAGACTGCTATCAGAAGACGGGTGGACCGAGAAGGTCACAAGAGGACATAGCAAACCAGATCGAGAAGCTGCAAGCGCGGTTGCAGGTGATGGGAGGCAAGAAGGAGAAGGAAGCGGGCTTGTATGCAAGAGAGGAGGAAGAGGAGGAAAGGGAGGAGGAAGAACGGTTGCCAGAACACACCTTTTTAGCAATGCGCTGCCGAGAAGAGATGGGTCTGAGGAGCGGGGGCAAGGATGGGAGGAAGGAACACATAGTGAAGGAGAGAGGGAGAGCGAAAGAGAAAACGGAAGAAGAGAGTGAAGGGGATGAGGAGCCAGCCCGGCATCCCAAGGACCGACTAGCCAGCCAAGCACCGGTACTGGTGGCAGAAGCAGGGACAGTGACTGTGGGAGGGGAGATAGCAAAGACTGCGATCCTAGATACAGTGGCACAGAGCGTGATGCTGGGGAAACGGCTAGCACAGAAGCTGGGACTGACCGGACAAGGGCAGCACATAAAGCGGGGGATGCTGGTTATGACTGCGGAGGGAGGCGAACCTAAGTGGTTGCCGTGCACAAAGACTCCAGTGGAGGTGGTGCTGATGCCGGGAAGGGACGAGCAAACCAGCATACGACTACAGTGTGGGATCTCTGACTCTGAAGACTTCGATGTACTGCTGGGGACGGAACTGATCTGGGGCGTGGGAATGACCATCTGCACATGGAAGGAAAAGGTGAAGTTTCGGAAGCAGTACTGGAAGCGGGGAAGCAGAACGGGAGAGCTGCCTGTACAATTCATCAGGCAGGAGCCAAGAAGGGCGTATACGGCCGAACAGGCGGGAAATAGAGACAGAGGGAAAGCGGGATTGGTGGGCAAGGCAGCAGAGACCAACGCGTGGCAGGAACCAATCAGACTGGTAGAACTGTTCGGGGGCATAGGAGCGGGATTGGCGGCGGTGCTCAGGGCAGGGATAGCCGTGAAGGAGTGGATCTATGTTGAGAAAAATGAGAAGGTAAGGAAGATGGCCGAGCACCATGCGAGGAAGCTGCAGAGAGAGTATCCTGAGCTGCTGGACGAAGAAGTGGTAATCAAGGCAATGCAGGGGACACTGACAGATGTGAAGAACATCACAAGGGAAGTGGTGAGGGGCTGGGGGCACGTGGACCTGCTGGTAGCAGGGTGGGAGTGCCAAGCAGTATCAAGAGCGGGGAAAGGAAGGGGATTAGGAGATCCAAGGGGAGCACTGCTGGTCAACTTGCTCTGCATCATCGACTGGATCAAGGAAAGACAAGAGAAGCTGGTGTACCTGCTGGAGCATGTGGACCTGGAAGGGGAGTGCAGAGAACCAGTGAGGAAAGTACGAGAGTTGGTAACAAGGAAGCTGGGGAAGGGAGTGAGGTGTGACGCAGCCAGGCTAGGGGCACGAGCTCACCGAGTCAGACGCTACTGGCAGAACGTCGTGATGGAAGAGCAATTGCAACAGGAGCTGGACGGGATACGGAGGGATTGGAGCAGGACTGTGCAGGAGATCCTGGAGCCGGGCAGGACAGCGGCACCAGTCAGAAAGGGCAGACATGAGACGCAGTGCCCATGCAACAAAGTGGGGGCAGAGCGCAGGGCATGGCCGACACTAGTGGGATACAAAAGGGCCGCCGGTTTTAGGGAGGAGGATGGGCTGCCAGGAGAAGGCATGGTGTATGATCACAGGACGAAGAGATGGGAGGAACCTACCGCGCTGGAACGGGAACTAGCGATGGGGTATGGAGAAGGGATAACTGATGCAGCAGGGGTGACAGAACAGGAACGACGGAAAGCACTGGGGCAGGCCATGGACGGTCAGGTCATGCAGTGGCTTTTGCGGCGAATGTGGAGAGGGTTGGTCATGGGAGAGGAGCAGGAACGGGAGACTGAGGGAGGAGGGATGAAAAAGGTGGGGGCATGGGTGTGCACGGCAGCCAAGGAAGAGCCAGCATGGGTGGTGGGGAATGCCATGAGTGAGAAGGGAAAGGAGGCAATGCAGGAGGTGCTGGCCAGGTACAGGCATGCCTTCGCGTTAACCCTACAGGAGCTGGGTAAGTGTTCGGTGAAGGAGATGGAGCTGAAGCTGGTCACAGATGAGCCAGTATTTCAGAGGAAGCGGAGAATGACACCAGCAGACGAGGACATTTGTAAGGAAAAATGTAAGGAGCTGTTAGAAGTGGGACTGATACAGCGATCGGAGTCCGAGTACGCAACACCAACAGTTGTAGCAGCACGGAAGGATCTGCTGGGGGAAGTGCTGAGCAGACGGATGTGTGGGGACTACCGAGCACTGAACAAGGTGACAGTGCCCGACAGGTACCCCATGCCAACGGCTGAAGATATTTTTGACCGACTGGGGGCAGGAGAGATTTTCAGCACGCTAGATTTAAGGCAGGGGTTCAACCAGATTCGGATCAAGAAGGAGGACGTGCGGAAGATGGCATTTCATGGGGCAGACGGGCTGTATGAATGGCTGTTCATGCCATTCAGGCTGCGGAACGCGTCAGCCATCTTTCAGAGAGTGATGGATAGCGTCTTGAGGGGACTAGACTGTGCGGCGTGTTACATAGACGACGTAGTAATCTTCAGCAAGAGCGAAGAAGAGCATGCGAGGGATGTGGAGCGGACACTGAAGGCGTTGGCGGATGCAGGGCTGACCTGCCACCCGAAAAAATGCAGATGGGGAGAGGCAACCGTACAGTACCTGGGGTACGAGGTCAGGGGAGGGCAGATAGGGATTCAGCAGGCAAAGATTGAGGTGCTGAACAGGCTGCAGCAGCCGAAGGACAGGAGCGGACTAAGGGCAGTGCTGGGATTTCTGAGTTACTACCGCAGGTTTGTCCCGAACTTCAGCAAACGAGCGACAGCGCTGAACGGACTGCTGAAGGAGGACAGAAAGTGGGAGTGGGGGACAGACCAGGTGGCAGCGTTAAAGGACTTGATGGAGGCGGTGCAGACGGCGACAATACTGCAGCTGCCAAAGGCTGACAAGCCCTTCTGCCTCTATACCGACTGGAGCAGCCAGGGCATGGGCGCTATACTCTGCCAGGAGATAGATGGGGAGGAAAGGGTGGTGGCATATGCGAGCAGGAGCTGCAACCCCGCGGAAGCAAAGTACAGCTCATACCATTGGGAAGGGCTAGCAGCCGTGTGGGCAGTGAAACACTTCAGAGTATACTTGCAGGGGAGGGAGTTCACGCTCATAACATACCACCAGCCGCTGCAGTGGTTGATGACCCACCAAGGACTGACAGGGAGGAATGCGCGGTGGGCAGTCACACTGCAGGAATACGATTTCAAGATACGGCACAGGCCGGGGAAGACACTGCAGCACGTTGAGGGGCTCTCAAGGAACCCACCACCACCAGAGCCGGTACAGGTGCTGATGATGCTGGCTAGGCAAGGGGAGAAAGAGGCGGCAGGGAAGCAGCAGGGACCACGGGATATATGGGAAGACGCTGAGGCGCTGAGGTGGATTAAGGGAGAAACAGAGGGGGATGAGCAGGTGCCCGAACGTGCAAGGGCACGGGGAAACCACTATCGGTGGTACCAGGGGCAGCTGCAACTGCAGTCAAAAGACGGCTGGAAATTGGTGCCAGCACCTGGGGAGAGGGAGGGGGTAATTGAGGAGGTGCACAAAAAGTTAGGACACTTCGGTCACGAGCGAACGATGCAACTGCTGAAGACAGGATGGTGGTGGGATGGGATGCGAAAGCAGGTGAAGGAGTGGGTAAGCGGATGCGCGGGATGCCAGCGAAGCAAGGCGAGTCTAATGCAAGCAAAACAGGAGCTACAGTCGCTGCCGATTAGAGGGCTGGGGTTTAGGTGGTCGTTAGACCTGGCAGGAGAATTGCCGCTGAGCAGGGGAGGGCAACCGTACATCCTGCTCATGGTAGAGCACGCTAGCAAGTGGCTTGAGGTGTGGGCCATACCGAGCAAAGACTCCAGGCATGTGGCCAAGGCTTTTAAGGAGCAGGTGTTGTGCAGGTTTGGAGCGCCGGGAGAGGTGTTAACCGATCAGGGAGCCGAGTTTAGGGGAGAGTTTCAGGCGCTGCTGGACGAGACAGGGATCACTCACCGACTAACGTCAAGGTACCACCCTCAGAGCGATGGTTTGACAGAACGATTGGTGCAGACCCTAAAGCGCAACCTAAGGGCGTACGGGGAACAGCGGAAGAGGAACTGGGACGAGGAGCTGCACTGGATTGCAGCCGGGTACCGATTCGGGAAGCAGGCGTCATTGAAGGATCATTCGCCATACAGCCTGCTGTTTGGAAGAGAACCAATTCTGCCAGTGGGAGCCCCACGGGTGCTGACTGACACTGTATCGGTGGAGGGAGCGGAAAAGTGGGTAGCATTAGCAGAAGCCAGGGCGAGGTACATGAGGGAGATGCTGCCGGCGGCCTTGGAAAACCTGCACACAGCGCAGCTCAGGGACGCACGCAGATATGAACAGAGGCAGCAGCAAGGAGGCAGAAAGAGTAAAGCAGCAGCAGCGGAGGGCCAGGAGGTGTACCTGCAAAGGGCCAGGAAGGATACACTGGATGTGGGGTTAGGAACTGAGCGGTGGAAGGTGAAGGAGATCAGGGGATCGGGGGTGTTGGTGCTGGAGAACGAAAAGGGGGAAAGGACAGTTGATCACCAGACGAACGCAGCTGTGGTGAAAGGACAGAGACCTCAGCAAGTGGGTTCTGTGACACGTGCACGGGCGGCCCGCGCACGGGCACAGGAGGGGGCAGGGAGTGGCTGAGGCAGGAGAGGACTGAGTAAGGGCAATCATGGAAGGAAAAGGGACAAGAGGAGGATGGGGTGAGAGCAGAGAAGGTAACCACGCAGTGCTGGCAAGGATAAGTGAGTACTCCGACACCTGTCACGAAACATATTGGTAAGATGCAGCATATTTCGTTCAGAGCTATGTGGGGTGTAGGTGGTGTACAAGTTGTTATGCAGGGTATTGGAGTGGTAGTTGAGGACTTGGGGAATCACGCGAAGTTGGTGACTCAGAAGATTGCGAAGCGCATGTTGGGAGAATTTGAGGCCTAGGGAGACAGGAAATCGGCGAGGGCCAACCAGAGCCCAGGCGACTCCAGTGCAAGCCCAGCCCCTGAATAATTCGCGACAGGGAAAGCAAGTACTAGTAGTCTAGCCTAGCAGAGCCAGACTTGTTCTCTCGTTTGTCTACCTGTTATAGTGGAAGCAAGTTACCGTTCTAAGCTACTGCTGCTAGGTGACAAGGCCACTCGGGGTAGCCATTGTGTGGGAGTCAGGACTTCTCACATGGGAGTGGCTGAGGCAGGAGAGGACTGAGTAAGGGCAATCATGGAAGGAAAAGGGACAAGAGGAGGATGGGGTGAGAGCAGAGAAGGTAACCACGCAGTGCTGGCAAGGATAAGTGAGTACTCCGACAAGAGTGGAGAGAGGAGAGAGGAGAGAGGAGAGAGGAGAAAGGAGAGAGGAGAGAGGAGAGAGGAGAGAGGAGAGAGCAGAGTGGAGAGAGGAGAGAGGAGAGAGGAGAGAGGAGAGAGGAGAGAGGAGAGTGGAGAGAGGAGAGGAGAGAGGAGAGAGGAGAGAGGAGAGAGGAGAGAGGAGAGTGGAGAGAGGAGAGAGGAGAGAGGAGAGAGGAGAGAGGAGAGTGGAGAGAGGAGAGAGGAGAGAGGAGAGAGGAGAGAGGAGAGTGGAAAGAGGAGAGTGGAGGGGAGGGGAGGGGAGGAGAGGAGAGAGGAGAGAGGAGAGAGGAGAGAGGAGAGAGGAGAGAGGAGAGAGGAGAGTGGAAAGAGGAGAGTGGAGGGGAGGGGAGGGGAGGGGAGGAGAGGAGCACCCATGGGGCCGAGGAAAATGAACTGGTCAAGGGGGGGGAAATTGAGTGTAGTGCTGCTGTGAGTATTTGTGGCGCAATTGCGTGGATAGGAGAGAGGAGAGGAGAGAGGAGAGGAGAGAGGAGGAGAGGAGAGGAGAGGAGAGGAGAGGAGAGGAGAAAGATGCACAGGCCCCAAGGGTAATAAACTGGTCATACGACGGGGAGAGTGGAAAGCGGAGAGGAGACGGACGAGAGAGGAAGAGAGGAAGCGGGCATACATGGGGCACATATACGGCAAGAGAGGGAGAGGGTACCCACAGGCCCAAGGGAGAGGGTACCCACAGGCCCAAGGGAGAGGGTACCCACAGGCCCAAGGGAGAGGGTACCCACAGGCCCGAGGGCGATAAACTGGTCATACGGCGGGAGAGTCCCGGTGATGTCGTCAATGAGCCGCGCCTGGTACCCTGCCAGCTGGTAGAACACACCCCTCTGCCCCAGCAGCACTCGTGCCAGCACCGCCACTATCACCGCGAGTATCACGCGCACCACCCCCACCAAGTCGACAAGCACCTGTTGAGAGGGGCAAGGGGAATGGGTTTGGAGGGGGGGGAACGGCATGGGTGTGGGTAGTTTGCGAGGGCAACGGGTGGAGAGCACTGGCAGCGCCCCCGACGTGTGTATGAGCGATAAGCTAGCCTAGTGTGCACTGGGTGTTGCTGCCTGTGCGGAGCAACTGCTACGTGCTGCATCAAGGAGTCCGGGGATCAGAAGCGGCCGTGCATAATGGTCAGCCCACCCGCGCACACACACAGCCCCACCCCCACCACTCCCTCCCCGTTCACCTGCATGCCACAAGCCATAGCATGAGACGAGGAGGGCAGGAAGCAGGGGCATCAAGGAGTCCGGGGGGGGGGAAAGCGGCCCTGCATAATGGCCGGCCCACCCCCACACACAGACCCACCCCCACACACAGACCCACCCCCACCATTCCCGACCCTTTCACCTGCATGCCACAAGCCGTGGAGAGAGAGGATTTGGGCAGGAAGCAGAGGCAGGCCAAGCGAGCGACGAGGCCCGGGGGCACGGAGTCTGGGTGGCGGAAGCCGCCCTGCATGATGGCCAATGGCGTCTCGCCAAGTGTCACCACGTCGCCTGGTTGCAAATATGGTGCTGCGTAGCTGGAGTGGGTGGGTGGGTTGGGAGTATGGTGCAGTGCGGTGCAGTGCAGTGAGGATGCCGGTCAATCTCGGGAAGAAGCGTGACGTGGTGAGACGTGGTGGGATGTGGTGGGATGTGTAATGCACAAAATGGCTTCACAGGCTGATAGGTCGAACATGACTGACTAGGCTTGACAGACTTGGCCGTGTAAGCATGGGGGTGAGTGAGAGTGAGCATGGGTGCACGAGAGCGCAAGGGGCGAGTCTCACTGGCGCAGCACGAGGAGCGGGTCGTCGAGGTGGCACAGCAGGTGCGTTGGGACGGCCAGCACTGATATGCCCGCTGCTATGCTGCCGGCATGGTGGGGGGAGGAGGAGGGGGATTGTGACGGTGTGGTGTGGAGCAGCAGTGAATGCGGTGCAGATGGAGGGCAGGAGGGGAGGAGCAGGCGCGAGGGCGAGTAGAGCCGAAGGTGATAAGGGCGAGGGGGAGTAGGGGCGCGCGCAAGCAGGGGCGAGGCCCACAAAGGAACGTATTTGCGCCAGGTAGGTCGTGAGAAGAGAAGCAGATGGAGGCGGGCAGGGGGAGAAGGCCATTGTGGAGGTGTGGAGCAGGCGGGAGTGTGGATGGGAGAAGGAGAGGGGAGGAGCATGGGAGTGGGCGAGTAGGTGCGAGGACGCACCTGCGCCAGGTAGGGGCGTGGGGAGCGGATGGGGGCGGGCAGGGGGGGAAGGCGAGGGGCAGGATGACGTGCTGCACCAATGGCAGGCTGCCATGTGGCCCGTACGCCTGGTAATGCACGTCCAGCCTGGCCGCCTGGTGGGCGGAACGCGAGGAGAGGGGTGTGTGTGGTGCGAAGGGAGGGGGTTGGTTGGTAGAGAAGAGTGAAGGAGGGAGCGCAGGAGGGGAGTGATAAAATGCGGAATGTGTGCTTGAGAGACACAAGAGCGGGAAGGGAGTGGGGAGGGTGGTGTGGGGGAGGGTGGTGTGGGGAAGGTGGGACAGACAGGCATGGGCTGCTGATGATGCTCCCTGCCCACACTCATGGGACGCAGCAGCGCTCGCTCTACTAGTGGCTGTACCTTGAGGTGGGAAAGGGGTGCTGTCTCCCCTGAATCTGAATCTGAGTCTGCCGCCCGAATCTCAACAGTCACCTCCATCGCTGTGCTCTGCCCCGCCCGGACGATGTACGCCGGCCAGTACCCATCCGCTCGGGCGGCAGGCGTGCCGTTCGGATGGCGAGGAGCAATCTGGAAGGGGCGGGGAGGAGGTGGTAGAGTAGAAAAAACGACGGATAAGAGGAGATTGGGGATTTGGAGTTGAACCAACTAAGTGGGCAAGGGGGAACAAAACTGAGAGAAGGGGATGGACGGGAAGCCTAGTGGCTGCACGGGTGAAGGTGCAAGGGAGTGTCGGGGAGTGTGATGTGAGGGCGTGTGAGGGAGTGAGGAGGAGGGCAGAAGGGCCAGCACTGACTGACAGAGACGTGGGAGGTGATGCCGTGGAGGGAGTGCGAGGAGAGCAGCACTGCCACGCGTGCCGTCACATGCGGAATGAAGGTGCTGTGCTTGCGCGTCGTGTTGTGGAAGCTGCACCAGGGGTGTGGATTTAGGGGGGGTGGGGAGGGGAGAGGGGGGAGGCGGGAGGTGAGGGTTCTTCTGCCCAAGGCGAGTGCAGAGGCTCGTCCGTCCCAGCCTCTGTTGACTCGACTCAACAAAGCCAGAGGCTCGTCCGTCCCATGAATGCGATGCACGCCCTGAGTTGACAAGGAGGACGCCCAGCCCTGAATGGCGTCGTCCCACTGGTCCTCCCTGCCCTCCCGCCATCCCCCTCCCGCCATCCCTCTCCCGCCATCCCCCTCCCGCCATCCCCCTCCCGCCATCCCCCTCCAGCCATCCCCCTTCCGGTCTTCCAGCTCAACCCGCCAAACTGTCTCCCGCTCTTGCGCTCTCGTCCAAATCTCACGACTTGTGCTCACAGGTCATCTGTTCATTCCTTCTTGCACCACATGCATAACGTTTATCCACCTCTGCACCCACCTCTCTCCCCTCACCTCATCTCGCCACCATCGCTCTGCCCTCCCTCAGCTAATGACCCCCATCGCCCCTCCCCATCGCCACTCCCCTCCCCCCCCCCCCCCTCACCTCATGACCCCCACGAGGCGGTAGAGCGACGGGCCTCTCTCCTCCCATTGCCAGCTGCCACGTGTCAACAGCAGACCTCCTGGCACATTCCCGCCCTTTACAGTCACATGTGTATGAATGCATGCACACATATGCAGGGAGCCAAGAACACACACACACATGCACTCACACGCATGCACCCATGCACAGAACACATGCTTGCAAGTTGCAGACATACACACGTGCACGAGTACGAGCACACAAACCCACACACACACACACACGCACGAGTACGAGCACACAAACCCACACACACACACACACACGCACGAGTACGAGCACACAAACCCACACACACACACGCGCGCACGAGTACGAGCACACAAACCCACACACACACACACGCGCACGAGTACGAGCACACAAACCCACACACACATACACGTGCACGAGTACGAGCACACAAACCCACACACACACATACGCGCGCGAGTACGAGCACACAAACCCACACACATACACACGCGCACGAGTACGAGCACACAAACCCACACACACACACACGCGCACGAGTACGAGCACACAAACCCACACACACACACACGCGCATGAGTACGAGCACACAAACCCACACACATACACACGCGCATGAGTACGAGCACACAAACCCACACACATACACACGCGCACGAGTACGAGCACACAAACCCACACACATACACACGCGCACGAGTACGAGCACACAAACCCACACACATACACACGTGCACGAGTACGAGCACACAAACCCACACACACGACACGGGAAACGAAGATGAAGCCATTTTTTTCAGTGTGGCGTAGAAGTGAATTCAATGAAGACCTCTTCATTTAGAGAATGGATGAAACAACGCACGCGTCTACGCCTTCCACGCCCCCTTCATCTCCCACCTTCTCTTCCTCATCCCATCCCCTTGCTCCCATTCCCATCCCTCCTCATCCCATTCCCTCTTTCCTCTCCCTCCTTCACTCCCCACCTGCACCATGGTCAGAAGCCGAGCCTTCTCCTGAGAAAGCCACCTCTCATTGCTTGCCACGTCATATGTCCACGCATCCTGCAATGCGCCCCGCCCCACTGCGGTCCCGCCCGCCGCCCCCTCCGCCGTCTCCGCCGTCGCATTTCGCCACTCCGCGGGATCGCTAGCCCACGCCGCGCCCGCCGCGCCCGCCGCCGCGAATCCCGGACGGAGCATTTTATTTCGTGACTGTGACTGTGACTGTGTGCGAAGGGATTCCCTCAAGATTGCGGCGGGATGGGCGGAACGGAAGCGCTGTGAGTCCGCCGTGGCGCACTCGGACGCGCGGAGAAGCGAGGGGGAGCGGTAGCGCACGGGGGCGCGGAGAGGCGACGGGAAACGGAAGGGCGAGTGCGCGGTGAGCGAGGGTATGTCAGCATCCCAAAAATCGGGGGTCCCAAAAAGTAGGGTTTCGGAAAGTAGGATTGGAGTAACAACTCGATTTGAGTCTGGAAACATGCTTTCGACGCATCGCGTCGAAATGAAATCAGAGCAGACAGCTTCGGAAAGCCCAATTTCGTTTGGGCAGCAATGCTATCAGCTTCGGAAATCGCCTCACTGGTTGAGAGGCTAGGCTTGCAGGTTCGGCGAAACATTTCAGCTTCGGCGAATTTGTGGGAGGCCAGGAACTTAGCGCTAGTGTCCCATTGGCCCTATGTCTCGATGGAGCCTGCTGAGTTGGCGTTCTGATATTTGGAATACACATGATAGTACATTGTCTGGAAGAATTTGAAACATATAATGTGTGCAAGGAAAATCCCTTTTCCTTACTTCGCATCCCTGCTCAACGCGTACATCACTGTAGCACCTCAGTCAGCACCGTTACCACTCGCGATCATCGCATCGACAATCATCCCGCCATTTTTCGCACATCGCATCCCGACCTCACGGCTCGGCTGGTAACCCGCGCTCCCGGCCTACGCCTCGACACTTTCCCAACCTCAGTCTCAGTGTCGTCGCGCGACTACCACAGACCATTACAGTTACCACTGTAGTTTCGCTATATATTCTTCGCTCACGCCCTCGTTCATTGTATTCTTGCTTCGATAGTGCAATTCTCGTTCGTTCACTCAATTGCACTCGTAACACTTGGTTATCAGAGCCTACGATCTCAGCTCGGACCGCATCCACAACTTCGCTTCCCCACTATCTCATTTTTTTTTGGGGGGGGGTAGACGTCGCTCAGCGATACAGCACCGCCGCTCGTAGTGCTCTCTCGCAAGCACACACGGCC